TCAAACTAAAATTAAAAAACATTTAATTTAAAAAAAAAAAAGAAGAAGTGACTCCAAGCAACTTATTTTTTTTAAAATGACAACCGTTACAATAATACAAATAAATATATTATAGATCTATAAAAGTCTACTTATAAAATATATTATAGATTTATAAAAGTAAACTGGAGATTTAAAAAATTCTCATATTTTCCCCAGGAACAAATTATTGTTAATTCACATTTAATTAGAAGATACATTAAAGCAGATATATGCAAAATTTTGGGAATCAAAGCTACATTTTGTCATGAGGAACCATGGCTTGGAATTGAGAAGAGATAGGCAAAAAAAAATTGGATTAATATTCTTTTTAATTAAAATTAAATACAGTTTATGCCTTTATTCTCTCCGTATTTAATAATTTTCCTTTTCCTTCCATACTTGATAATTTCCCAACTGGCTGTTACAAAAATCTATTTTGGCTATAAAAACTGGATCAAAGGATGTCTATGACATCACACTTGACCTAACAAATACTCGGAAATCAAAGGCTGGAACTGCTGCTACTTTTTCCTGGGATGAGTGGAAAAACAGATTTTGTTTTCAGCATTTTCTGGGATTCTTTTATTTGCACTATTTGTCCTCTGTTGTCATCTCACAGCTTTGAGAACCACTTTGCAACATAAGCCTCCACCCAGTTGAGCAACTGATTAAAAAAAAAAGCTGACAGGAATAATTTTCCTCTCTTGCACTGAAATTTGTCTTTGTTTGAACTTTTCACTTCCCTAAAACAACACACAGGAACGGTCTTGCTCAGTGCCATTCCTGTTTGGTCTCTTTTACAGGGGCTGAAACAAGAGTTGTACAATGTCACTTTTCTTCCCCAATTTAGTTAACCAAAATGATTGATCCATACTTTGGTCCAGAGAGCTTTGACCCACACTTTCATTTATTTTTATTTTTTATTAGAATTTTAAATAGTATAAAGAATCAAAGGAAACATTAAAAAATAAAAATAATATAGAATTATGACTTCCTCCTCTTTCTATCAAGTAGTTACCAACCTATTCCTTCCATTCCCTCCCTCCTTTTTTTATTCTCGAACCATACCACCTTGAGGTAAGATGGGCAGCCTATAAATTTTATAAATAAATACTGGCATTTTTATAATCCCACATCACATATAACATCTGGAATTCACCTCACTGATTTCTCTATCACAAGAGTTGAACTCTAGGAAAAAGTTTGGAACACTTCCTAATGGCAGCCCTTCTAAAGTATACAATTAAAGCAAACACATTTTAAAAAACCAGTAAGAACCAGTTACAGGCTCTTGCTCTGTTTTTTATCCCCTTTCATCTAGACCAGGGGTATGAAACCCGTGGCCTATAGGCCGGATGCGTCACACGCTGATCACTCCCACTCTCCTTAGCGAAGGAGAAAAAAGTTGTGATATGTCACATGACATCAATGTTACACCACGAGTTTGACACCCCTATCTAGACAGTACTATGTCTTTTCTACATAAAGTATATAGATCAGGAAGTTTTTCTGGCAGTCTGGGCATCAAGGCAGTTTTGCACAATGCTGCAGATGTAAAACAATGCATATAAATTTAGAATAAAAATGGCTGAAATTACACAGGAGCTCATGCAGGCTTTGATGACCTAAACTGTCTAAAACTTTCCATTTTTATAAATAGATACATAAATATTTTACAATAGAGGTCAATGGGCCTTATCTAGCAGTTGCATCAGCAAAATGGTGCCTGATGTTAGCAGCCTCCAGGCAGATAGAGGAAGCAGGAATTTATAAGAAATTTTATTCTTCCCTGCAAGATGTCTATCATACAGAAGTAGTATTATTACTCCAACTTGCAGAAATCCCCCAAGGTCTCATAATGTTGAAACTTTGTGGAACAAAAATTGAATAAGAAGGTTGCATCATTGAGTTTTGAATGTTCCTCTATATTGATTATTCCTGGGTTTTGCTACTAGGGGAAATAGGTGAACCATGTGGTCCATTCTTAATGCTCACATACAATGTTTTTGGGCACTGAAATGTATTAGAAAAATTGTTTACCTTGTAAAGGTTTATATTTAATTGCCAGGTCAGGAAATATTAATTAACTTGCACTAAAATATTAACATTATCAACTGCTCCCCAGACAACATCATTCTGTAAGACACACAGGGAATGTTATATTTTTGATTAAGACATTGGGTGGAAAAGAGAAAGGAAGGAAGGAAGGAAGGAA